AAAAGAAACTGACAGCCTATTTTAATTGGAATACAGAGTGCTGGTGGGAGGTGTGAGAGTCTGCAATGAGGCAGGGACATAGGTCCCTAGCCCTGTATGAAAAGCAGTCCTCCAGGCCCTCCAGGCAATGGTCAGAGGACATCCATGGCCATCTTTCTAAATCACCAATTTGGGGACACAAAACTTTCAAAAGGAAATGTATTATGTATAGAATAGAATGCAAAGACCTGAATTTTTTTTTAAGATTGGCACCTGAGCTAACCTTCCTTTTTTTTCTGCTTTTTTTCTCCCCACATCCCCCCAGCACATAGTTGTATATTTTTGTTGTAGGTTCTTCCAGCTGTGGCATATGGGATGCCGCCTCAATGTGGCCTGACGAGTGGTGCCACGTCCACGTCCGGGGTTCTGAACCAGCGAAACCCTGGGTCATGGGAAGCGGAGTGCGCAAACTTAACCACTCAGCCGTGGGGCTGGTCCCCAAAGACCTGAATTTTTAAAGTAAAGGACAAAGAAGTTTTATACTGATTTAATCTTTTAATGAACAGATACATATTATAGAAAGAAATTCATTTAATTGAAGAATAAGGATGCTGAATCACGCTAAAGTTTAATGAGGATAATTTCATAAAACAGGAACTTCAAGAATGTCTTGAAAAGTCAAAGTTATAAAATAGATATGATCCTTATTTTTCATTATTTCTTTCAATGTTCCATGGAGTTGTTGCCTACATTATGCTTACATACATAATTGCTCCAAGGAGAAGAAACTCAAATAGGGTATTCTGTAGCATTAAGTAAACCATTCTCTACCAAAAGAATAGCTAGCTCATCAATAGTTGAATTAAAGCTATTTTTCCTTTCCTTAAGTGTCCTCAAAATCTGTCTAGAAAGGTTTAGGCAGTGGCAGTATGGAGGCTGGCAGATGATAAATTTCTATAAGTCTATATCTATTCCTAACAAATTTTAAATATTGTAGAAACCATCACAGTAGTAGAGTCTGAGTTGGTTTGGCTTCTTTCTTAGGATACTAATTTATTTTTTAAAAGAAACCCTAAAGTCCTTCAGTATAGGAAAATATTTAATGAATGAGAGGAATTCTTGGGTAGCCCCTATCAGCTGTAAAGCATAACAACACTTAATCTGTTGCTCTGCACCCTCACACACACGCCCCACCAGCCGTCTCCTCTTGTAGTCATCTCAACTCCCTCTGGACAGCGCCATTGACCAGTTTCTCCAGCCAAAACTCTGGGAGACAGCCTTTATTCCTATCTGTACTTCATCACTTACATCCATGCCATCAACAAATACTGCTTTCTCCTTCCAAAATATATCACAAAATGGGCTACTTCTCTCCCCTGCCACCACCTCAGTGCATCTACAATCCCCTTTTACTCAGACTACTTCAAACCCTCCCAATATCTCCTTGCTTTTGCTCTAAATCATTCTCCCTACAAGAGCCAAAATAACTTTAAAGGCGGGATTACTATATCCCCTTACTAAAAATGAACATATAGTATCTAATACATAAAAAAAAGTATAAAGAAAAATAGAGCAAACGTCAATATAGCCACTGACTGCATTAGGAAATAAAACTTTACCAACACATTTAAACCCCCTTATTTATCTCTCCCCAATCATCTTTGCCATTCACCAACCTCCAATACTCCCATATTTGATGTTTATTTTGCCAACACACCTTTCTGGTCTACTGCATGTATCTCTAAACAATATACACTATTTCTGCATTTTTAAAGTTTGATGTAAATGGTATTATATTGTATTTATCCTTTGGCAACTTGTTTTTCACTCATTACTACGCTTGTGACATTTATGCATGTTGATTTTTCACTTCTGTGTAATATTCCACACTCTGAATAAACATATTTCATTTATCCATTCTCTTATTGATATAGTGGTTTGTTAATGTTATTACAAATGATGCTGCCTTAGATATTTTTGTACTCTTACTGTATATTTTTGAGAGTTTACTCTTAAGTACACTCTTAGGACTAAATTGTTAAGCAATGAAGAATTTCATCTTCAACTTTATATTGTGGAACTGACTCAATGTAGTTATTTGTAGGGATTCAGTTCTTTTGGAAGATAAAAGTAGCTCCAATAGTCGGAGGGAGGTGAAGACTATAGCCTTCTTACCCTACAACTTTGTTACCTGATGATAACAGATATGGACAATTATATGGACAATGAAAGCAAGTCTCATGGACTTTATTTAGCAAGCAAATCCAGAAACAGTCATATTAACTACACTTATAGCCCAATGAAGTTCCAGCTTTTCTCTTTTAGCATAAAGCTCATTTCATAAGTGTCACTCAAGGCAGACGTGGCAATATCTGAGATGCAAGATTCAGCTCACCTCCCAAGAGTCTAGAATCCCCTCAAAAATCTGGACACAAACTTAGATGGTGTCCTAGGACCAGGCACCACTAGAAGGGCTGCTGAATCCAAGCGTGTTCTTCTGCTGCATTCACACTAGATGGGAGATGCTTATTCACTGTAGCCAACCCACGCATAATACGCGAGTGTTACTACCATATAAGAAAACTTTACATACTGAGGTACATGGAGAAACCATTCTGGTTTAAACTTGAAATTTTATTTGAGCCAAAGGCCTGACTTGCAGCTTGTCAAACATACATTGCCCATCTGCTTTGATCATTATCCTAAGTAAAGAATGTACTCTTTGAAGACAAGAATTGATGCCTCCTTTCCCAGGACACTAGCGTTCTTTGTAGATAAATCTCCCTTCCCACAACTCCAGAGGCATGTTGGCCCACTATACGGGCTAATGTGTAACAAAATATCTCCTTGAACCCTTGAAAAAATGTACCCCTGTCATGCTCGGTGTATGTCTCTTTGGAAACGGTATATGATTGTGCTTAAAATCACTCTTCTCTGGAGAGCCTTCTTCCTTGCAAAGCCTGCAGTTCCCGGGCTATAATCCTGAGTTTGGTTCAAATAAAACTCTCTCTCCTTTTTTCTTTTATAATAGAATGATTATTGACTATTTGCACTAACTATGATAAACGGGAAAAAACTCACTCAGATATTTCCTAGTATATATAAGTAGGTTTGTTTCATGCCTAAATCTCTCTACCCACCTAAATCAGTGGCTCTTACGAGGACTTGCTCTCATTCCCCTCACCTTTACTCCCCTTCTTTTCTATCAATGTGTGGCTAAATGTTGAAATAAAATGTGTCTCAAAGTAGCAATTTTAAAAATCTCAACTCGTTGTAGTTTACGAATTTGCCAAAGCACTATCAATAAACAGGCAATTCAAGACAAATTTTTCTGTGGCCATAACAAAATTATTATACATTTGAACATAATCTGATAAACTGCAATAAATTATTATAACATACTCTGATTTTAGAATGGAAAAATTAACTACTGATAACGTCTCTAGCTGTTACTGGAACTTTAAGATCATTTATTTCTATTTTAAGGGAAAGGTAAACTGAATACAAAAATGCAACATTAGAATTTTTAAACTATAGAATAACGTGGGAAGGACTCTAAATGTTCACTGGCCCAAATCCCCTTCAGATGCAGGAATTTCTTCCACAGTAATCCTGCAAACCCCAGCTTGTTCACTTCCAGTTAGGACTCATTGTCTGAGTGATCTCATGCCATCTTTGATTTTCACCATTTTAAAATTTTTCCTTATATGGTGCAATCCTGTTTTCTTAAAACTGTCCACAAGTATAAGAACATATAAATACATGATGTAGTCATTTGACAACACCAGCTTTAAATATAATTGCCAGAAGGATGATTTCTAAATGATGTGATTATTTTATAACAATGAATTTTTGCTTTCTTCTGATATTCTCAGTTCTAATATATACTAATTTATTTTTTAAACCTACAAATTAAAAAAAAATGTTTACCTAATTAATATTGATAGCTTCTTAGGTATAACACTTTTATTTTGTAAGTTCACATTCTCAGCCTTCTGGAAATCAGGATAATTTGGGTTTATTATGATGAGATCTTACATCCGCAAGTCATTTTTTGACATGAAGACAAACCAGTCCCAAGGATAATGAGTCCACTCTCCTCGTCGACTGACCTAAGGTTGCTGATTGTATGTCCTCTCCAGCAAGCCAAAGTACTGGGGTGTACAATCTTCTTTTCTCCTAAATTTCTCAGCCTCCTCCTTTTCTTTTCTACTTTAATTCTCTCACAAAGGCTGGAAGCAAACAACAGCTTGATAGAGGCTATTGAGAAGGAAGCAATCCTGGGAGAATCCTAGAGACAATCCCATGAAATAAAAGCTCATTTTTATCCTCTCTTGGAACATTGTGACAAAGAAAACGCCGCCACTGCATCCCAGCATATTTCTTTGAGAAATATTTATCTTTCAATTCATTTCAACAATTATTTACTAAGTGCCACGCACTGGAATAGGACCTCAGCCTTGTGCTAGTATACTGTAGTTACAAACAGTACTACTCGTGACATTCTCTTCCTTAAAAGTTAAAAGTACTAAAGGGGACTCCCCTTCACTCACAGAGTGAAGACCTAGGCAATACACGTCCCGTGATGGTTCATGGGCTCAGAGGTGACTCTGATGAGATCTTGGTGTTTTCCAGAAAGAGTGCATGTAAATAGTGTTAATTTCAGTTTACACATGAGATTTAAACAGTTCGAACCTCCGTTTACTCATGAGGTTCTAACAAAAGTGAATTAGAAGACAAAATTATCGTATTAAGAGTAATTCAGGGGACCAGTCCCATGGCCTAGTGGTTAAGTTCAACATGCTCTGCTTCAGCAGCCTGGGTTCGGTTCCCCAGCATGGAACTACACCACACATCAGCTGCCATGCTGTGGTGGTGTCCCACAAACAAAATAGAGGAAGACTGGCAAGGATGTTAGCTCAGGGCAAATCTTCCTCATGCAAAAAGAGGAAGATTGACAACAGATGCTAGCTCAGGGTGAATCTTCCTCAGCAGAAAAATAAAAGAATAACTCATCATGCTTAGGGAAGAATCATTTGTTTTATTGTATAAATGACAATTTCAACAAGAGTATAAATTAGACATAATTATAAAAACTGGAAGATAGGATATTTACATCCAAACATCACTCTAGTAATTGGCAGTTTAAATATAGTGAATACAATAAAAATTTTGAATGTTAAAAATATATACATTTGGGTATCATAGAAAAGAAAGCAGACAGTAAGAATTCTGCTTGCCCAATCAGTAACTCACAAGATTTATGTAACAATTCCCATAAACTGATCTCAGAAACAGAGCAATGTGACATTTTCTCTGAATACAAACTGTGAAATACTACAGATTCTGCTTTATATAATATTGTTTGAGGCAATCTACATAGGAAACATGATCAAGATTCATAATTGCACAAATTTGAGAGGACTTACATTTCCCATCGCAAATTACACCACTGTCATAACTCACAAAGAAGTAATTGTAGTATTTTATAAACTGCTTACTGTCTAGAACTGCAAATTGTTTAGCTAATCCATACAAACTTTTCGGCTGCAAATCTTCAACATCATAGGTCTGGGTCAGGATATATTCCAGCTTCCAGTTGGATTCTCCCTTTAGATTAGCATCTGTCAGGTTCAAATAATACTGCAACATATCCTATAGTTAAAAATAGTAATAAAATCTGGTTTATTTTTTGGCGTATAAAGTACTGCACAGCAAGAGAGTCTTTATTAGGATTTATATGACAATCTTAATTTAAAGTTGTAGTCATTAAAAAAAAAAGTGAGAATTGGTTTTAGAGAAAAGAGTCCCGATAGAAAATCTATATTATTTTTTTCATTTTAAAAATACCGAAAGAACAGAATAGGAAATAATCTAAACTATACAGAGACATGTACAAAATGAAAAGCTTTCGATTAACACACCTTAGAAGTAACCACTGCTAACAGTTGTGTATAAATCAGTGGTGTGCTGGAGGTGGCCTGCACCAGCTCACAAGAACAGACTGTCAAATTTTCAGGAATCTTGCAAGTTGGTTGATATCACTTTGGCAGCTTGAAATTGGCCATGATGGGAGTATTTATATCATGGAAATTAGCAAACATTACAAATCAAAGCACTTTTTCCCCCAGTGAATCAGTTAAACATTTACCAGCACTTCAGTGTACGTGTACGTGTATTGTTTTAGATTTTATGTACAAAACAAATACAAATATTTAGACTATATATATACATATATACATACTTACTATCTTTTTGGCTTTTTCGAAAAATGAAGTCTTGCTATACAAACTGTTTTGCATTTTTAAAAATTATTTAGTGCTATAAAGGGACATCTTTCCATGTCAGTACGTATACATACATACATACATATACATATATATACATGTGTGTATCTGAGGTTCAGATCCCAAAATAGGCAACTAATAGTTGTAACAGAATTCTGTTGGACTAGTTTATAGTCAATTATTTTATTTCCTCATTTAATCTAATACTTACGGATTAAATCAGATTTCCCCTGCCCTACTTCCTTTGTAAAAACATGCTCTAGGGAATAACAGAGTTAACTCCCACTAAATTTACCTAGGAAAAACTTGCAGTTACATAAGTAGAGACCTTAACTGAGAAATTCTTTTTCAAATTATTTTTGTTGAAAGGGGCAGTACCCATAAGCTAAATGCCCAGCCTTTCGATGCTAACTTGATCCAAAGCACAGAGTCACGTACAAGCTGCAGAGCATTGTGGTCTCAAAGGTAAATGTCCAACTTAATTTATTTTCTTTGCAAAACTTTTTTTGCCAACATTTATAGAGCGCTTACTATGAGCCAAGCATTCTTCTAAGTGCTTTACGTGTATTTGTTCACATAATCCTCACAGCAATGCAGCGAGGTCAGCAATATTTTAATTGCTGTCTTACAGAGCAGTAGCCTAGGACAGAGAAGTCAGGTAATACAGCTCATGAGAGTGTATGGTTTCAGGGCCCACACCCTCCTTCACAGCTGTGTTCTGGAGAAGAGCGGTTAATAACAAACACAGCTTAGGGAAAAGTTTCAATATGTATGCAAGTCCACAAATAAGGCACTTCCCAATGGAACCCTCGTCTAAATACATATGAAGTCCTTAGAAGGACAGGAATGGCCTCCCAAACACTGACTTCATAAGCCCACACTTAGAAAGTGCTGACATTCCAAATATAAAAAGAAGAAAGACATGGTGAGAGTTCAACATAAACGACAAGTCACAGAGCTGCACTGAAAACGTCCAACTAAACAATGAAAACTACAAAGACATGCATTAATATAGGGTCAATTCTAAATCTGTGCTAACTTACCGATAACTTATAATCATGAGGGTCATACTGAAATAGTCTGATACCAGGATTGTTGGTCTGTTTTTGTAAAACATTCTTCACTGGGGTAACAGCAGGAGCCACAAACAAAGAATTTATTGGACTTCCTGGACAAAACATATAAACATAAACATCCACTTTTTAAAAATAGAGTTTAACTATATTAAAAATGTGAATAAGTCCAAAAATAAGAGATTAACAAACATAACAGGCAAGTTACAGGTGATCCTTGATGGATTCTGACTCAAAACATGAAACTTGAAAATAGGGGAATTTTTATTATGGATTGGTATTAGATTATACCAAAGAATTATGGTTAATTTTGTTAGGTAAGCTAGTGGTATTGTAATCATGTAAATTATCCATATATTTTAGCACTGCATACAGAAGCATGTAGGACTGAAATACATCTGATGCTTGAGATTCACTTTCAAATACTTCAGAAAAGAAAAGAATAAAAAATGAATAGAAAAAGCAAATGTGGCAAAATCTCGGTAGATGTTGAATATAAATGATGGTACATAGGGATTTGTTTTGTCATTATCTCTGCTCTTATATATATTTTAAATTTTTAATAATAAAACAATTCAAGTTATTACAAATACACACACACCAAAGTACAAAACGAGTTTGTTCTGTACCTCTACCGAAAACAATATTTCAACAATTACATAATAAGAATTTGGTTAAAGTGTCGCCATATTTTATCCATATCTGTTATAGGACTAAATTTCTTTCTGAGTAAAAAAGCTATCAAATGCTGAATAATGGTCATTTTTATCAAGCCCACTCATTCTAGATGAAAGAGGTGAAGCATTGCAAAAATGTGCCCCAATTGCTGAAAAAAATACACATTGATTTTTCTCCTGGCTGACTACTATGAAATCAAAACTCTTATTTTGTTAACTCTGTTTTCTGCTTTCATGTAGACACAGTCTTTAAAAATAGATAATCACGGGGCTGGCCCCGTGGCCAGGTGGTTAAGTTCGCACGCTCCGCTGCAGGCGGCCCAGTGTTTCGTTGGTTCGAATCCTGGGCGCGGACATGGCACTGCTCATCAAACCACACTGAGGCAGCGTCCCACATACCACAACTAGAAGAACCCACAACGAAGAATACACAACTATGTACCGGGGGGCTTTGGGGAGAAAAAGGAAAACATAAAATCTTTAAAAAAAAAAAAATAGATAATCACTGTTTTATTTGATGCTAGAGCTTCTTCTATTTTTTTCTTTTAATGCTGAATAGATGACAATATCAATAAGCACTTAAAAGTAAGAGCTTAATACATTTTATTTTAAACCAATGATAAATTGTGCTTTGCTCTTTAAATTCTGAAGACTGAAACAAGTCATATCCAAAGAAACTTGAGGGGCCAGCCGGGCATCGCAGTGGTTAAGTGCACACGTTCCGCTTCGGTGGCCCGGGGTTTGAGGGTTAGGATCCCAGGTGAGGACATGGCACCGCTTGGCAAGCCATGCCATGGTAGGCGTCCCATAGATAAAGTAGAGGAAGATGGGCACGGATGTTAGCTCAGGGCCAGTCTTCCTCAGCAAAAAGAGGAGGATTGGCGGCAGATGTTAGCTCAGGGCTAATCTTCCTCAAAAAAAAAGAAACTTGAGTCTAGCAGGTAAACAACAAACAGTAATGTTCCCTTAAACTTGAGGATCTAAAAGAAAATTTCAGAGGCTTTTGTGTTGACAGCAATCAAATGATGGTCGTCCTGTGGAGCTAACAGGAAGAAACTCAACTGCAGGCCTAAATATGCTTTGGACACTTGCCATACAATCACAGGAGGTAATTCAGAAAAAGCTGGTGCTGGCAGGTGGATTTAATGAAACTTTTAATTTACCAGATCAGTAAAAATCACTGGGTATTATTGGATATGCTTTGCTCTAGCAAAGTCTTGGATTGAGGAAATGCAAACACAACATCAGATTACCTTTTTTATCTGAAAGAACCATGATGCTATCTCTGTGTGTGTGTCCATAAAATTGTCCTGCAATGACATTGCTGTATTTTCTAAAAATATCTATCAATTTCTCATTATAATATTCTCTCATTGCTGTGGTGCCCACCGTATAGGGCAGATACCCCACTGGAATATGCGCAATGATGTACACCTGGAGAAGGAAACACAAGGAGGACTGATGAGAGTCTTTGTGCACATTTATCATAAACAAATCACATTTAGATACCCAAGATTGAAAGTACATTAATTAAAATTTAGAAAGCCAATATACCATCTGTCCTATTTATCGTCAAAATACGATGAAATCACGAAACTATTAATACCACTATATTTGTACTTGTCGCATTTAAACTACACTGTTGAGGATATAAGCACCTGTGACCATGGTCAGAATTTTTTTCTATCAACAGACACCAATCAATCCTCAAAGCATTAAAAGCAAAATAAAATAACAAAAACAGAGATAAATCTTAAGGTATTTCATGTGACATCTTCAAATTGTAATACATTTATTAATAACTGACCCTCCTCATGTTTAATAAATACACAGATTTCGCCCTCTGTTTATCCCCTGATGTTTTTGGTCTATGGGATCTACCTTTTCCTTATTTTGCTGAGAGATGTTCAGTGTGTTTTCTAGCCATTCGAACTGATTTGCTGGGTCGGTCTTATTCAAGGTCACGATATTTGGGCCATAGTACAAGTTTGTGTTTAGACTGATGATCCTAAGGTTCAGATTAGTTGAAACCTTCTGTGAATAAAAGCCACCTATAAAAACAAATTTAAAACACATTCTAGAAAAACACACACACAGATATGCAGGCACTTGAAAGTAAATTCTTAATTAAGGTTTACAAGCCCGTCAGGAAGTTGACACTTATTTCTCCTTGTTTAGTTTGACCATACATAAGCTGTCATTAGATGAGAATCAGATTTAACAAACACTTATTGAAAACCTACTGTGTGCCAGGCACAATGCTGGTACTTCCACAAATTGAGGTAACAACAGTTCAGTTGTATCCAAAATTCAGATGAAAAGATAATTAAATGTTTTGGCACTAGGCATAATGAGGTACCAAATTTTGTAAAAGAAAGACTAATATGTCAACTCCTACTTTTGTATATTTGGGGAGTTAAGATGACAGATAACGACGAAACATAAAGTCCAAAGAATAGGAATACATATAGATCTTGCCAGAGACTACTGAGGAAGAAACAGCAGATAAACCAGAGCTGCCACAATCTCAGTAAAGACAAGGCTTAAAGGCATAACTCCATTCACACCTCTGAACCAGTAGTGTCAGAATGTTCAGCAAAGGGTCTGCTGCAACGGTCCTTTCAGAGCTGGCCACTGAGATCTTGGCCCAGCTCTCCTTGCTCTGGACCCACTCACTATCCATGCCTCTCCTTAGTTTTCAAATGTGACTTATGGTCTCCAGAAAAACCAGGTAGAGTGGCTGTCTGGAATTGGCACACTCAAGTAAACAGTAAAGATCTAAGTCTAAACAACATGAATAAGGACAGTCACAAAATAGGGATGAGTAAAACTTTCACTTACCTTTCCTTAAAGTGTGAATAGCTTCTTCATCCAGCCATGGCTTCCAGAGGTTTGCCACTGCATCGTACACCTTGCTGGTGACTATAGGTAGTTGATCCTGGCCACAAACAATATAATCCACCATTGAAACTCTAAAGATACATGGATTAATTAAGTTAAACATTACTTGAGTGCTTACTACTACGTTAAGTATCTGAAGATGCAAGGAGGAATACTAGATAGACTCAATCTTCAAGGAATTTATAACTTGGGGAGGCGGAGGACAAAATGTAATCAATCCCCTATAAGCCAAAGTACTAGGTGCTACCACAGAGGTTCTGGGAGTGCAGAAGCAAGAACAATTGAGTCTGGCCCAACGAGTCAGTGGAGAGAGCAAAGACAGCACTTGAACCAGACATTGAATAATGATTTCATCAACTTGACAAGAAAGAGCAACAATGCAAAAACAATGGCCCAGACACCAGCACAGTGTCATATACAGAGAAAAGCACTTGTTTCAGTGTGGCCGGGGTCTAGGATGGATATGGAATGTGCTCATTAAAGAGACACTGAAGGCAGTTTGAGCCTGAACATCCAGGGCCCAGTGTAGCATGTCCACGGAATGGAGAAAATTTCATGATTTTGGAATTAAACCAAGTCCTCTGAAATGTTAACACTAGTATAAAGCTTCTTGATTTCTTGAATGAAGATTGACAACCACATGCTTTTGATATGAAGAAGTCTCTTTATGTCAGCCTAAATTATATCACCTTGTTTCCATTTTTTAATATATTAGATATATAAAACATTATTTTTACCATAAATTATCTTTTTATCATCCTAGTATATCATATTATAATAAACTATGATGACATATGCTAGGGAAGATAAAAGAGCAAAACTTTAGAAAGTAGATATACTGAATAAAAATCCAAGAAATCATTTGTGAAATTGAGTAATTATTTCTATTTTTTGTTTTAAAAAATTATATGTAAGAACTGAATCCATTTCCTTCACTCTCCTCGTTTCCTCCTGTATATTGATGATAGAGATCTTAAAGGAGTTTCCCTGGAAGCGTTAATTAAAATGCTTGGTTATTTTTCAAGATGAAAGTCACACTAGTTCCTAATACATATGCCTAATATATGATAAAAGTATAAATACATTCAGGGCAAGTAATCAAATGACTTGTTTAAACTGGAACTAATTATCCAAAGTATATTTTCAGTTTGTGTCAGAGATCATAGTCATCTGTCTGAAAATTACACAACAGCTTAGGCCAACCTAAATTCTGGTTAAAGATTGTAATCATCATCAATATCATCATCATCATCATCATCATCAAAAAACCTAAAGTCTTACCAGAACTGGGTATAAATTACAGGTCTTTCCACTGCCAAGAAATGAGGTATAATGGGAAGTGACCCACCCATAAGTTTGGTGGCAGCAGCCTTGCCAGTGGAGGAGGACATGAGGACCCTGGACCAAACAGCTTCCTTGGGTGGCAACTGGAAGGAATTCCTGGTCTGCCACATTAATATCTACTTCTGATGTAATGGATGGGGACATGCAGCTATACATGTGTGTTTATGTAGCTAAATTTAGGTACATTTTTATGGGTTTTAATAGAGAAATAACACTTATCAAATTTATGTGTCACTAACGTTGACCAGATTTCAACCTCAGATACCAGCCTCTAGGAGAATTTGGTGTGTGGCTTTCACGTTACATTTGACATTCCTGAAACTAGAGTGAACAGATAGCAGTGGAACAATAGAAAAAAGATGTTCGGATATCAAGTAATAAGCTAGAAAGAGAAAAAATTGACTGTTTAAGGTATACAGCCTTCCCAATTCACCCCAGCTCTGCTTATAAAAGGAAATTTTAGATTAGATAGTATCCATGTCTTTGAATTATTATAAGATTTGACTTCACAAAAAGAAGACAGAGATAAAAGTGAAATGAAATAACTCAAAGGAGTTAGGAAAAATGGATCCCACGTCACTGCTTAATGCAATAATAACCACCACTCCGCTCAGTGAGGGCTCATTATGCGCCAGGTGAGAAGCTATCCCTTTTCATGTAGTATCACTAATTCTTACAAAAACTTTGCAAGGTAGGTTTCAATAAGTGACCTATGGATCAAGCACCCCAGGTGAATTATCCAAGTTGGTCAAGCTATTAGAATCAGGGCAGGATAGGGTTTTAAATTCTAGTGGATATGACTCTAAATGCCACACGTTTTCCACCAAACCAGTCTGCCTGTCACCTAAAGCACATAAAAACAGTGTGTGTAACCTCCAGCTCCTAGACATTGTTTGTCTCCAAGCCTCTGCACTGTGTGGTCTAACATCTCAACAGAAACAAAAGTTGACCACTGGTTGAGAGCCCAACTTACAAAGACTCACATAATTGTTCATCCCCAGACTAGAGGTCACTTGAAACTTGAGCTCATCCTAGAGTAGAACTTTTCAAAATCATGTATTTTGACTTCAGGTTAGCTTAACAAATAAATTCAAAGCGAAAAGAAAAATGTAGACAAAGAGAGCCATGAAAGTAAATATCTTGTTCAGGAAATATTGAGTATATTAGTCTGGCAAGAGCAAAGGAGGTGTGAAGTGTGTTGGTCTACTTGAACACAAAAGATCCAGGACGTGAGCTCTGCCACTAAGTGATTATGAGCACTAGAACCAGCAACTTAACATTTCTGGGCCTCAGTTTTCTCGTTTATAAAATAAAGAGTTGATCTAAACCAGGGGTTAACACATTTTTTCTATAAAGGGTCAAATAATAAATCTTTTAGGCTTAAAAGCCATATGGTCTCTGTCACAACTATTCTATTCTGCTGTTACAGTGCAAAAGCAGCCACAGGCAATACAAAAAGAATAGTCATGACTGTGTTCCAATAAAGCTTTATTTACAAAAACAAGTGGCAGGCCAAATTTGGACCACAGGCTATAGTTTGCCAAGCCCTGGACTAAACAACAATCTCTGAGATCTCTTGAATCTGTACAAATCTAAGATTCTACACTACTATAACAGGACCCTGTAACCAGGGCTGGTCTCCAGCTATTATGCACAGGCTGCTTAACAATGGCTGCCCTGATAGGCTGAAGTCTGGGCTGTACCAGGCATGAAATATTCTGCACACAGTCTCTGCCTTGAATCTCATCTTAATTAGATAAACTGGACTTGAACAGGGACTTCCCTCTTTGGTTCTTAGAATAATTAGCTATGCTTTTGGTTTTAATCACAATCTAGCTTAGAGCATCACGTGGAGAGCTTTGTATATCTAACAGAAATTCTGAAAAATGTAAATACTTGTCAGCATTAATCTTTGTGCTAACCTTATACTGGAAATGCAAATGAATAACAAAATTATTCAAAAGGAAGGAGAAATTGAGGAAGATTATATAGAAAAACAAGAATTAATAATCCACAAACTAGGTAATTTTCTTCTGAAAACTCGCTATGGATATAAATTTTATGAATTCTTAAGAGTTACTTGAAGGTCCCCAAAGTACTTGTTTTGTCTTTCTCGATGATTAGCACTAAGAACACACTCTATCTCAATAAGCCCCACTCCCACGCCCTACCATCTGCTAGCTATTGTCATAATTTTGACTCTACTGATGGGAAAATTCCTTTAAGCACTTCTGGGAGTAGAGGTCAAACTTACCTGTGGCCAATAGTCATGATTACCCAGTGCAGGGAAAACCTGAAGATTTGGAAAGAGACTCTGGATGGTGGTTGTCATATTAGCAATCACATTTATGACTGTGTCTGTTGAGAGTTCATGCACAGGAACATGAGGTGGGCTATCCCTGGAAGGGAGACAGAATCGTGGGGAACAAAGTCAGTTTGTAGGAAAAAATCACTAGACTTATGTGTGATGCCTTGCTGTACTATCATTGCAGACTTCCACCATAAAACAACAGATGATAGTAAAAATTAGAGTTGATAAAATCTCATTTACCTTTCTCCCACAGAGTATCCCGTAAAAAAGAAAACGTGTAATACAGATGATAAACTGAACATCTCAGCCTGTTTCACTGCCTGACAGAAGATTCATGAGAGGCGAAAAATTTTAGTAATTGAAAGCATAAATTCCAGAGCTGAAGTGCCTGGATTTAAATCCTAGGTTTGACTTACTAGCTGTGTGCACTTGGGCAAACTAGTTAGATTCTCATGCCTTCATTTCCTCACCTGTGAAATGAGAATACTACTACTACTAATAATAATATCTGTTGTTAAGATTAAATGAGTTACAATGTGTAAATTAATTAAAGTAGTGCCATGGTCATGATTGCAGGTACAGGAAATACAGGCCTCTTTCTCAGTCATGATGGATGGAATTAGTCAATTATACCACCAGAAGATGACATTTACAAAATTGCTATCACAGGTTAACTCCCACTGTTGCCTTTTGTTTTCGATTATTTAATCAAGGCCTAGTATCACACTAATAAACATCTCAAGACACTGACACAGATGTACTGTTTGTGGATTCATTTCTTAGTTAACATCGACATATCTCTAAAACCTGTATTCTAAAAAAAATATATATCAATACCAGGACTTCTAAAATTTTTTGTTATCTATGATAATGTTGATTAATTCGACCTAGTATTTTTTAAACCCAAATAATTCTTAATGGAATTCAGTATTCTAATGAAGCTTAGGACACTGTAGATAAATACTGAATAACTAATGGTATTTACAGAACCACTTACCCTGTCCATATCATGAAAGATGCTTCTTGTCCTGAATTTTTAATAAAATCAAATGCTGACAAGATGAGGTGATATGGGGAATCACACAGAACATCTCCAAAAGGGCCAGGATTGGAGGCATTTGCGCCTTTGGAGGAAGCGCACACTTTCGTGTGGTCATCTGTGATGTGGTAAGTAGGGTCTAAGTGTAAGTCAGTCACATGCCAAAACTGTCCTGTTGATCAGAAAAGAAATCGTGTTCAATCTACTTCTCTTTTGGAATTCCCATACAAGTATTTACACTGACTGGAGGCACCTGCTCCTCCCTGTGATGGAGGAAAGCCCTAGTAAGTTAAATATTCATATGCCCTGAAGTTAAATACAGCCCTTCCCTGTGAGAAGACAAGGATTCCGAAGACAGCAGGAAGAACTTACTATTTACATGCGTCTGATGTAAATACTATACATGTGTATATGTGTCTGATGTAAATTACTGTAATATAGTAAACGGAATTGATGAGCTCAATGATATCATGACTACCCAACAAAGACTGTATAACAAACATAAGTTGCACAATGAAATATATGGAGACATCCTTCCGGGACGTGAATAATAGCATGTCTCCCTCCTTGCAAAATTTAAGGTTTTAAAATTTATTTATATTCTTCTTGTAGAAAAAGTGATGTAGAAATATGATGTGGTTTGGTGGGGTTGCACAATGAATAGATTGCAGAACCAGAAACTAAATCTTACTCCTGATTTCTTATAAAACCTTATCTCTCAACATTAATGGAAAAAGAATACAAATCTTCAATACTAAAGATAGGAATTGCCAGAGGTTCTTAAAAGCCATTTAATAGAGGAACATCTTCTACCATACGCTTGTATAAAATGTTAATAATACGAAGGGAAGCATTTGTTAAAGAGGATGCTTCCACTGGGTTTTCAGGAAGAAGCCCAGAACCCATTTGGTAGCATCCCTGCTTGTAAATCATCTTGAGAAAGATTCTTTCATTGAAAGAAATACTAGAACTAATAATCATAGTAGCATCTCTCTTTATTAAACGTGTACTTGGTGCCGGGCATTGTGACAAGCAATTTAAATACATTATGTCATTTCATTCTCAAAACCACTCTCTTGAAGTAGGAATCATTGTTCTCTAGAGTTAAGAAATTAATGCTGGATCAATTAGGAAATTTGCTCTTGTATACATGCTAATAAACAACAGAGTCAAAATCTGAATCCTATTTTGAAAGACCATCATTGCTTATATATAATTTACATATATCTTAAATGATTTTGCTGCCTTCTCATATGCAGTTAATAAATTCTGTTAATATTGAGGTTTTTTCGCATTTTGAATTTTGAGTCCACTCTGATTATGACGAGTCCACATCAGAAACACACCAGAAAGTGACACAGCAGCATGAACGACACCAGAAGCATGCATCAAACAAGTGGAATGCAAACTTTTATCTATAGAAAGATAATAAAAACTAAGTATATTGTGAGCAAAACCTGAATGAAACCCAAAGCGGGATAATAAAGTGAAAAATTGAAAACAGTTAATTTGCTATAGTAGAAAAGGTAAGTTAGATTTGGGTGGTGGTTATGATTTTATAACACCTTTCAGTTCACAGCTAAGAAGTGGTAGACAAAAGATCCAGAAGAAAGTAGACATGAAATAGTCTTTATGATCAATTACTTGGTATTCAGTCCTTCTTTGAAAACATTTGCCAGGAGTAATTTATTTTATTCCATAATGTAGAAAATACTCCAACTTTTCTTTCCAGCTTAAACAAACTTTATTCAGCACATAAAGTGGAGTTGCCAAATGGCTCAGAATCATCCTGGAGACTGCCCTTCCTTGAGGTAGAAATATATACTACATCTCGTTTTTATGTAAACATGTATTTTATTATTTGTAGAATGTTAAGGCATAGTAAACTGCCCACTGAACCACAGAGTGTTATGCTTAAGAGCAGGGACTCCAGAGTCAGATGGCCAGACTTCCAATCCAAACTCCACTTGCTAATCTAGCTGTGCGAGTTCGGCTTGTTTCATCTGCAAAACCAGAATAATATTAGTGCCCATTGTATGAGGGTTAAGTGGCTTCGTGGAAGTAAAGCCCTCAGGAGGTGCCCGGCATCTAGTAAGCTCAATGTTAATTGTGCTGTTACTATTTTGTAACCCCAAGCTTGAATTTGAGATTGAACTTCCTCATTTCCAAGTAAGAGTTAAAACTTCTCGAATTTATAAGTTTACTATACAATGTATGTTTAGTACTGTTCTTTATGCTTTACAGCTGTTAACTCATCATTACTTCCCTTTGACAGACAAGGAGCTGCTGCACTCGGACCTTAAGTCCAAGTCACAAACGTCAGACTCAACAGAGCCAAGAAAGGGACTCAGGAAATCCGACCCCAGAGTTCATGCCGTCCTTAACCACTGAACACACGGCCTCTCTGGGTGTGCTCACATTCAAATGGCCTTCCGTCTCCCTTGCCTCACGTAAAACAAATATTGACAACACCTATATGAGTTACGGTGACAATTAAGGGACAATGAGACTGTAAATATATTAAATTTTTGTAAACCCAAACTGCAAACACATTAAAGACACTCCCTCTAATGTAATCTACTACCTCGATTTATGTACCCAAGCACGTAGAATGCTTCTGACCTATAGTGGGCCCAAAGCAAACATTCTTTAATTATGCACAGGCAGGTTTCAGGATTTCCCCAAGAGAACACGGGAACGCAGTAATGAAAGCTGAGCTGAAACCACTCGCTCCAGACTTACAGCCTACCGCTCTCTCCACTACACTGCACTGCCGACAGGTAAGTGAGGGGTAATTATTCAGATGCATCAAAAGATGTCTTTACATAGAAGACAAGGACCGAGCTCTGACAGGTTCTTAACCTGGAATTCATAAATAATGAACCTCTGGAGGTCTCACCTCCCGCCTCTAATGAAATTGTATACAAAATGCTGTGTGCCTCTCGGCGGTGGGGGGCGGGGGGTAGAGGTGTCTCCAAGGCCATGGACCACGTCTAGGGCAGAGCCCACACCTCAATCCAGATTCTCTGGTTTGAAGTTCAAAGCTCTTTTCACTACCCCACAATTACTTTCCTGTGCTGCAGATAATCTTTAAAAATATTTCCACAAATGTGTGTTTGTGTGCTGTCAATATATCTAGATAAATGCTCAATATTATACCCCCCAAAATCTTATAATTTATCTTAACAAACCTGGTAAATCATAATTCAGATGTTTGGACATACGGTGGTGTTTATTTATTTATTTTTTTTGTCTATTTGTTTATAATATCACCACTCACCACAGGCTCTAGCAGGTCCTGACCTACTAAATCTGAAGAGTCGTGGCCACACCCAGGTGAAGTCTCCCTGGATTGTTGTCCTCTGACCACTAGGACTTGACAGAACAGGAAGCAGAGACTGGGAATCTGCACGCGCGCGCACACACACACAAAGCAAGTAATCAGAAGCCAGTCATGGGTGTTGTAAAGGAAGTCCAAGCCCTTGGGGTGGCAGTCACGGGGAGAAGGAAGGTCACATCAAGTAGAAAACACATAAAATAATATATCCATGTGAAACTGTTGAGTCAACGCCTCAGCAGATTTTTGAACCCGGATTACCCCGTCCCTTCCTCTTCCCTAGGTGACACAACCTTGGAGCTTCCTACCAAAACAGGGAGGTGTGAAGCCAAGCTTCACTAGACACCAGAAACTTGTCACTGAGGCCTTCAGCAATCAGATTCCTAAAACTAAAAGGTGAATTTGCCATTGGCTGGTATCGTGCAACCTGGGACATTTTATCTCAAAATCCTAAACAGCCACATGATGAAAGAAATGCAACTTCAGCTTTAATAAAAGCAGAAACCACCAGTGTAAGTATTTGGGGACAATTTGTTGTTGTGACCATCAGCTGGGAAACCACATTTACAGTTCTGCCTTTCAACTGCCTGACTGCTGAGTCACGAGGACTTGGCTCTGAGACAAAGACGAGGCGTTTTTCCCAGAGCATTTCCGAAGTTGTGTGAGAGAGCAAGAGCCACAGAGAGAAGGTTTCAGCATCAAGCACTGCCCCCAGTTTGAGACAGCAATGCACAAAACACAAAATGGACCTCCACCAATTTTTCCCCCTCTAAATAAAGAGCGATTATTTTAAAAGAGAGTCGGGGACGTGGGGGAACCTTGGTCTTTGAAACTGAAAGCTCAGAGGGCAGAGTAAAATCCCATCTAACATTTCTCTCTTCTGGACCAATGGTTCTCAAACTCTAGCATCTATCAGAATCACCTGGAGGATTTGTCAAAACAGCTTCTTGGACCCCAATTCTCCAAGTTTGATTCCGTAGGTCTGGGCTGGGGCTGAAAACCTATATTTCGAACAAGTTTAGGTGATGCTGATGACACTAGCCCCAAACCACACTTTGAGAACCATACTCTTAACAGTCACTGTATTAAGTGTTGAGAAAGAATAAAAACTGGTCCTGCCCGCAGGGAGCCCAGTAGCATCCTGGTAAAGTGAAACGAAGGCTCCTTGAGTTCTAACGTAGGCTAAAGGGTGGGGTAGCACCGAGATTGTGACTATGCTCGCAGAGGAAGCAGGAAGAAAAGGCCACCAAGTTCGGTGAGCAGGACAGAAGATAGATTCTGAGTCCCACGGAAACTTACACCCTGAGGGGAAGCGGCAAGTCTGGCGCTACCCGAGTTACTCTGGGCAGATTCGGGTCCCTGGGAGTGCGGGACGTCCCACTCCCAGCTTCTTTTCTCCTAGAAACACGCAGCTTGTCCTTCCTCTCCCAGGAGTAAAGCACTCGGAGACACACAGTGTGAACCACTGAATCGGGAATCGGGCTGCTGCGCCCCGCGGAGCGCCCCCACGGCGCGGGGACTGCCCGCAGGGGAGCCCCGACCTCGCGGCCCGGCCAGGGACTTGGCGCTCAAGTCCCCCTGCCGTCCCCGCCCCCCGCGCGGAGCAGCCGGAGTCGGGGCGCCCCGCGGCCCCGCGCGCTTTGCCTGCCTCTGCGCGGGCGCCTCCGCCCGGCGCTCTCGGGCAGCTCCCGGGAGGGAAAGGGTCGCGGGCGACTCACCCACCGCCGGAGCGGGTCTCGGGCCGCCCGCGGGAGCCAGGGGCAGCCCGAGGGCGGGGCAGCCGTGCCAGGCGGCCAGCAGGCAGCAGACGAGCGCGCCCAGCAGCGCCATCGCGGGCGGCAGCCACGGGCCTGGGAGACTGGGGCTGGCCTGCGGTTGCACTCGGACCGTCAGGCCCCTGGGTAGGAAGGAGGCAGAAGACAGAGGTGGGTGTAAACACCCAGCGGTCACGTGCGACAGCAAACTCCGGGTTCGTCTGACCTTCAGCAGCTGTCTGTCTGCCCTTTGTTTCTTAGCGTCAGGGACTAGCTTGGAAAGGAATGTGCTTGGGGCCAACCCCAAGTGTATCATCTTCCCTAAATACCACCTGGCCCTGAACGAATGGGGCTCCTCCGCAGCAGTGATGCAGAGAACCCTGAAGTATCTTGATTTCGACGAGGTCAGCCAAAGTTTCGGAAGGCAGAGTGGATCTCAAAGTGTGGTCCCTGAGCCAGCAGCCTCAGCACTACCTGGAAAGTCTAGTTAGAAAAGAAGATTCTCAGGCCTGCTGAATCGCAAACTCTGCGAGGGAAGCCGAATAATTTGTGTTTTTACAAACCCTCCAAGTTATGCAAAAGTGATGGTGAAGTTTGAGAACCACTGCTCAAAGACACTCGGTTTTAGTTTTTTGTTTGTTTTTTTTTTTTTTCCAACGGTATTAGAACAATGTCTCAGAAGTGTGCTTTATACATTCCAGAGATGCATGGAAAGCATACATAGAGCAGGTTGATTTCGCCCTTCCGAAGAATTTTTGAAAATACTTAGTTTGACAAAGGAGTCAAGATCCCCGAACTTCCTTGGGTTCTGTGTTCCTTCTACTACCATTTATGAGGATGCTGACCTCTTTAAGATAAAGAAGCACATAGTTTAAATTTGTGGGGCGTAGAATTCCTTTGGAGAAGGAAATACCCTCCAGAATTACCTTATAAGGGATGTTGTAAAGTGAATTTGTTTCCCATCACAGAAAACCTTCTGTTGTATCCTGTGTAATTTAATGGGAAAATGTCTCATGAAAGTGGCTTTGAAATGGGAATGGAGGCGCCTTCATTTGCTGTTTCATGTCCTGCCATGGCGGCTCCAGCACTGCCTCAGGGTTAGGATGATTCAGAGGCCTTTGGGGAGCCAAAGTGCTTTCCAGTGAGGAAAATGGTCCTTGGGGTTCCTCAGTCCACAGCCGCAAGAGTAGGGGGAAAAATGGAGCAGGAAAAGAAAATGGCAAATAAGAGAGAGCAGCTTTAAGGACAGCAAAATAACTTGTGTGTTTCTAGCCCAAACATTCTGAAGGATAGGAAAAGGATTTACAAAATTGTAAAAATAGCCATTTTCACTCTTTTTTCCCCTCCAATTTCTAGTAAGCTTTACAGGAAGTAAAGTGGTTGTGAAATAATTCTTCAGGCGGTAAGCATGAAATATGGCATATACATTTTGAAACCTAAGAAATGCTTGCAATCCTAAAAAGACAACAGATTGAAATTAAGGGGTAGAAACACCATTCTCCCTTCTGCTTCCTCTGCTTTCTTTTGTTTTCCTTTATGCGCACTCTCTAAGATGCACAAAGCTACAGTGCCTCAACACCTCTCAGTGTGCACCTCAACCCTGGGCATGTATTTGTAGGTCCACATATTCGAGTGTAGGTGTAATTTGCTGTGAGGGTATGTATCTGGGAGAGAGAGCACCCGGGGTAGTGTGGAAACTGCTCCTTGCTGATTGTCAGGAGTCCACAACTGAATTTCACAAGACAACCTTCAGCATAGTTTGTGTCTTTGAGATCTTGGAATTTCAGGGATGTTCTTGGTTGATCAAATTGCTTTTGGTGATTAGGCTTGATAATGTTTCCTTTTCTGTTAACTATGTTAAAAAACAAAACAAAAAGGGCAAACCAGAAAAGTTAGTACATTGACAGATTACTGGATGAGATAGAACTTGGCTTGAAGAAACATGATTTGCAGTTATCCTGTAAACATTTAGGAAGCAAAAATATGTGTCAGAGATCTCAGAAAAAATGCATTTGGTTTCCCACTGCCACCCTTGATCTTTTAGCCCAGTGTAACTTTGTTTCCCAATTAGGCCACCCTAAAACCTTTCCATTCTTCATTCCAGGAGACAGTTGTTATGGAAATTAATGCCAGCATGATGTTATTTGGCCAATTTATAGTGAGCTGAAAAAGCATCCCCATCCTTGCCCTTGTATCTTTAAGAATAGAGACCAGAATCCGTGCTTCTCTAAAGCATAGGCTGAAGTCACCAAGTCCACAGGAAGCAGAAATGAAGGCTGTCAAGGCACTTGGAGCAAACACCCTCTCAGTGTCCTGTTTCATGCTCCTAAAGGCAAAGGTAGACTCTGTGGTTTTAGAAAGGGTGACCTTAGCCAGACAATCTTATCTTGACATTAAGTAATAATTGAACATTCACATGTTAAATCCTATAACAGCACTTTAGATTTTTCTACTTCTCATTATAGTAGTTAAAGTAATACACTAGTCAGGTCATAGTATCATTGTGGTGAATTGTATAAGTTAAAGGAAGTTTTCTCATGCTTATATCTATAAGCTAATTGGAACTTGAATTAACTTATAGAAACTTACTGAAAACACTGGGTTGATTAAAAATGAATATTGCATACTTGTCCTAAAAAGTATTGACGTTTCCCCCACCTCCTGCCATCCCCCCAAAAGGCTAACCCAGGGAAGATTTGCTAAGGAATGATCAGGGAAAATGAAATCTTGCTTTATTGTTTCAGAGGAAAATTTAGCTGAAATATTAATTTTTAGGAGGAAATAAAGGGGAAAATTGCAAGGTTTGCAGTTCTTGGTATTTTTCACTAGTCGGGATGTTGGACTTGTAAATCTGATCTTCAATTTCCTCATCAGCAAAGTAAGAAGATACTATCTGCCTTAGCTGCTTCACAGTGTGAGTCTGAGAAAATGTATAAAAAGCATTTTGAAACAATGAAATACAAAATAACATTTGTTTATACTTTACAAAGGCAAGCCCTAGCCGGTTACAAGCAAATATTTACTTTTGGTTGGTCAACTCAGTCCAAAAGTTCCCATACAGGCACTCAAAAAAGGCGTTCGCATGCCTTTAAGCACACTCTTTGCACACTCCATTTTAGCCTCTTACTGACTTGGTTCAGCTCACTGTATCTGTCTGGAGACACATCTTTATAGTCCAAGATAAAATTCACTCCCTTTTCTTATTTACCTTCCAATAAGGAACTTAAATTATATGACATTTTGATTGTATGATATTTTGATTCTATTTACCTTTTAATAAGACATTTTCATGGATATCATTTCGCTTCTCCAGAATACCTGTTTCTAATAGCAAGAGATCATTGCACAGCCCAACCCACCATAATGAGGCTCCTTTGGATTCTGGCCAAACGAATTTAATCATCGCGAATTCTCTATGGAAGTATCAACCAAAACTGTGGCATTTCCACATTTCCTTGGCCTTCTGCTTATTTTTTAAATTAGTGTTTTAAATGAAGTGCTAATTTTTCCCACCTTACTTTATGTCATAAGAAAGGCTGTTTTGTATAAAACTCTCTAATATAAAATTCCCACCCAGATTAGTGATATTAAAAACAACAACAAAATTTCTCATGGGTGTAAGATTTTTATTCCAAATATATTTGCATGCCAATGGAAATTATAAAATGTATTCACTTATTTATTTTAAAAATGTGGCTTACAATTTTAATGTGAATTGTAAAACTATAAATTGGCAGATCAAAATTGGGCTAGTTGCTTGGAGTAATAAGTTTTTAAAACAGGTTTTTAAATCACCATTTTCCATCTCCATGCTGACAATAACCTTCTAATTAGTGGTCAGCACTGCTGTAATTGCAGGAAAGCGCTGAGACTTGAGTAAACAGAAAAATCAGAGAGCTTCTGCAGCCCCAGGCCAGGAACCTTTCTATGCCTTCTCATAGTGTCGAACAGCAACCACATCACCAACAGTAAGAGTCTGAAAGATTCAAAAGACAGTCAAGTCTTTTTAGACAAGAACATCAGTAGCTGAAAGTTTTAAAGTTTCTCATATATATGATTTAACTATTATGCAAAAGAATAATGGTGTTTACAAACTTTAAATGCTGCATAAATTCTTCATTTCTTAAAACAAAAAGAAAAGAAACTCACGTTTATTGAGTGAATAACGTATACATAGTTCATGTCTCTAAAAGGAAAATGAAGCAAAAACTGAGACTGACTATCCAGGTTCAGGTCAAAAGAATTCCTTTGGCCTTAAATTATCATTGGGGCAATGGGAGCAAATTAACTATCTGCTCTGAAAGTGAATGAAGTTCATAGTAGGTTTTCATAACTGTTTTCAATTCATAACCTAAATAAATTTTGAAGAGTTTTTAGAAAATCCAAATGGTTTGGGCAAATGGTATTTGGAATGACTTGTTCCAAAATCCGCAGGAAAAGGTATACATACAAATGCTTTGGAAAAAGTAAACATACATTTGGAAAAGGTAAACATACATCGCTTTGGCTGTCACGCTTTACTCTATGTGAACCTTGATGGTTGCGTGGGTATAACGTGGAACATAGGCTCTTATGTCAAATCCAACTTGGAGAACTGCTATAAAACCTCTTTACAAAATTTGGGGATTTTAAAAGTTTGTTATTTTCATGTGCTTTTCAGGAGTATAGTGTGCCTTTGTCATTCATTGCTTTAATCTCCTTCTTTGAACTCAGTCTTGCCCCATCACAGTCATACATGCCAAAGCTGAGCTATCCACTTTTCTGTATCCAGGAAACAAATGGAAACAAAGCATAAAGAAGAACTTCAGACTGAATCTTTTACAAATGAATCCTGTCTCTTGATGATCATTGCAAAAGAACGTGGGCAAATATCCATTAACGTGAGAGGGAAACTGCTCCTCTGCTCCCCACCCTCCCTTCTGCTCATGGAAAGACTTATGACTCTGTAAGTCCTATATCTCACTCTAGAACAGCTCTGATTGCAGAAGTCAAGGGAGGAGATGGAAACAACAACCAGTTTTCTTAAATAACAAAAACAGAAAACCCTTCCTGCTATTGTCTTAGAAGGAATACGTAAAGCACCCCCACCTCAAAAAAACCCAAAATGATACATTGACTATTTCAATGTCACTCAGTTCCCAAAAATGTGTCTGGGATGCTGGGTTAAGGCATAACATTTCCCAGTTTATAATGCCACTCCATCATTCCAGAAGTTATTTTTAAATTATTCTCTATTTTATAATTTTTACATGACTACCCACTATTTAACAGGCATGTTTAAAAGGCATTTTATGCATTAAAAAGAAAGACTGGGAGGCAGTAACATCAAAATGGTTCTCTCTCAAGGGAAATTAGGATTTTTATATTTTTGTTATACTTTTCTGTTATATTCTAAATGATCTGCACTGAACTTGTATAACCTTTATAAATTACAATATTAAGTGTTTGAAGATCTCATTTATTATAGGAGCTATAAAGTAATTTTTCTGAGATCCAGTAAGCTTGATATTTTTATTGTAATATCAGTCATCTTTATATATTTTCATGATTATTGGCTTTACATTTAGATTTCATGTGAGGATTAGACTTTCACAGTAATCCTACAAAAAATCTTTTTGATACACAATTTTAGTTAAATCAATCACAACTTTTTAAAACGACATGAAGTAGAATTTTTCTCCTTTTCTGTAATTAAAGAAACAGAGCTGAGGAAGCAATTAGCTAGGATCTTTTTATTTCTCTTGTTTTACACATGGTTAAGGAACCTTGCTAATGACTTAATGGTATTAAAGAAGGAAGGGAGGGAGGAAGGGAAGAAAGAGGGAAGGAAGAGAGAAAAGGGAAGAGAGGAAGGGGCAGGGGGAGGAAGGGAGTGGGAACAATATGGGAGGTGGAGGGAGAGTGGGGGTTGAAAAGCACAGAAGAAGGGAGAATTGCTCCTACTTACCATAACCATTTTCCCATCTTTAATTTCTCTTACAAAATTTGTTTCTTTGCCATCCCATTTCTGTACGTGCACGAGTTTGTCTCCATCCAGGCTAACAACAGACTGAGACCAATGACGAAACGCAGAACATGACAACAGGTACAGATCAGTTTTCGGATATGAAACTCAAATGAAGTGATTTTTGAAAAAGTCATGTAACTGAATAAATCATGATCAACTAATTATCATGTTAGTACCATATCCTATGTTGCTTTAGAGTCATTATTATGTAAACTCTAATAATTCGTAATTTGATTGAAATGTATACATTTAGATACAAAAACTTCAAATACTAGAAATAAAAGTCCTGAACAAATGCTTTCTGACTGGTCACCCTTCTCCTTTACACAAAGCCTTGAAAGAGGCAAGCTGTCTATTTAGTCAAGTTGAGGTAGTCAGAGAGATTAAACAAAATGCAATCTTTCTTTCAAAGGAACACTGCTAAATGCTTTTTGAGATACAGATTTGATATAAAATGTGAAAAACATATGGTAAGAGACAAACAGATTTAAGATTTGAGTTATAGCAAGTACCTACTGGTTCAGAACATAACATGTGAGCACTAGATTGCAAAATTAACCCTGGTGCCCTTCTGTCTAAATTGAAATACCAAGACCATTCTCCAACTTCCACCGTCTAAAAAGAAGAAACATCGAGAATCTCTGTCTTTGAGTTCCTCCTCCCCATCCCCACCCCAGGGAAGAAGCAGTTCTTACCTTACAGTTTCGGTCATCTGCAGTGGTTTCATCAAACTCTTCTCCCAGGTGGAAACTAATCTCTGTGTTCTTGAACGTGCTCTGAGTCCTGATCACCACTTTGTCCCCCTCCTGACTGATGATCACTGTTGGTTTAGTCACATTTCCCACCTGCCTAGTGGCAAAGCCCACACCTAAAGTAGCAAAGGGAAGCAATGCAGTCAGCCACAACTTCCAAAAGAGATCACAAAGCAGGAATCTGCTTTCCTATTCTGGAATCCAGGTCCTAAAGTGTAAGTTTCATTAGAGCATGTTTAGCCCATTAATCATGCAATACGACTACTGAGCTGTAATAAGTGGATGCACAAATAATAAGTGAATGATGAAGAGAAAACGAAAAAGGCACAGAAGCCTCACATCCTCCGCAGAATACCAAATGCTCAGTTATTTGGCCTTGGGCAAGAAAGCAGGCGAATGCCACATTAAAAATCCATTCCGTGGGAAATTCGTAAGCCTAACTTCCGATTACCACAACGTGACTGTCTTTGTCACTTGCCAGTCTAATGGGTGAAAAAAGGAATCTACAAGTATCTGAAGCTGCAGATTAGGAAGAGAACAACACATCTTAGTTTTTCTCACCTAGAGCCTTCATGTACTCATCGAAGTTCTGGCTGTCCGTCAGCTTCCAGGTAGCACAGAAAGCCTCCACCATCCTTGCCCTTTCCCTGTTGGCTTCAAAAACAGACAGGAGACAGGAGTGAGGATCTTCGCGGATCTTATTGCCACTGCAATTCAGAAGACCCTTAGCACCTAGCTGCAGCTCCTGCCTTCTTATTTGAAGAGTCGCAAAGAAAGCCAATGATTTGAATTGCAAACATGCCCCACCCCTCCAGAGTCTCTCTTTCCAGGAGGCTGTTGCAGGGGCAGGGGATAGGAAGCGGGGCTGAGAGGTTCCAATCCTCTTTGTGATTGGCTCATGCCACTGGGTTAGCAGAGTAGGTCGAGTTCCTCCCAATCCTCACACTGCAGCCCTTCTGCCTGAGAAAGCTTTACAAGGATTCAATGGGGCTGGAGAGAGGGAACTGGAAAATGAGAGAGGGTCTTTCAGATTCAGCTTGAAAACTTGGCAAAGGCAATTTCAGACTGTGAGGAAAGAAAAAAGATGCACAATAGGACATTCAGATTGATTTCCGTTAATGGCAAAGCTGGTTACAAATGAGGACCACCCCCCTTAAAGAAAACCACTGAAAAGCCAGACTTTTCAGAGGAAAGAGGCTGAATAGTGTCTTTTATTTTCTCTCATATTTACAGGGAGAGTAAAACACAAGCTGGAATATGCCAAACTGGGAAAACAGGAGGGGGAGGAGGTGTAAATGCCTTGCCTAGATTGTTCTGGAAAGCTACTCCAGCTGAGTACCAATGGGACACTAACTAATTTTGGCCTCTTCCCAACACAAACTGAGTGAATTTAAAGATCCTGTTGTCCTTTCTAAGAATGTGAGAGCCAGACTGAGATGCAAAAGGGACCCAAGGAAAAGTATGGTTAGGATTCATTAATGAGGTACAAAAATAAAGAAAAGAATGCTCTGGGTTTTTTTCTTCCTTCAACAGATTATAGAATCCATGTGGAAAAACTGGACAGAAGATTATTTAGTAAGATTGTAAATAATTGCACTGTCAACGCAAATAATCCATAACCAATCTATAAATCAAAATTGGGGTCAGTTTGTTATGCGCCAGATCTGAGGACTAGCCTGGGACCTTCTTTCTCCAAGGCGGGAAGGGTGCCAAAGAAGTGGGGTGTACAGAGTGGTTATATGCCACTTGGAACAAACAGCGTACATCACATATGATAGGAATGTCCCTTTTACAATAGTCATGAGATTGCCTAGCCAGCACAGCACAGCTATTCACACAGCAGGTAGCGGGTCTACTGTCTGGAGTTGGGTGGTCACAGGTGAGCACAGCAATCAATTCCTAGTCTAGGGAGAGATGCTTATCCTTAAGGAAATGCCAGTGTGGGGGAAGTTTTACCTTTATCTTAAGGGTGTTTGTTCCTATCTTTAGGACATAGTAAATACTTAGAGCAGATGTACAATTCATGCTCAACGGCCACATCAGGCCATTTTGGAAAAACAAGGTCAGGCCAAATTAGTTTTACACCAAATGGCTTCCTCATATACTCCACTATGTCCTATTGCTTGCACTTTGTTTATCAGCACTATAAGACCTTTTGATTTCCTGAGGTCACAGCTACATAAATATGATCTATGTACAGGTTGGGAGTTAGCAATGGGGGGGCAGGAATTGAAGGAGCGGGTGGAATCAGAAGATGTTTTGCTTCAGGTTGTCCTGGCTCAGGATACCCTAATCCTGGCAAAATATTGCAAGGATTCTGAGTATTTAAAGGTCTCTGACCCCCCCATTCACCCAGAGATTTTTCCTGCTCTACTAGTGTAGACCATCAAAGAAAAGCAGGTCACCTCCCTTTCTTGGGGACAGAACAAGGGAATCTGATTTGTCAATCCCTGCTCTTCTTTCTCACCTCCCATATAAACCTCAGCCCACCAGCTTTCAGCTTCTGTCCACACCAAATACCAGAGACAAGGCTCAGAACCCATCTTACTCCAACTGCCAGCTCCACGATTCTACTTTGGTGTCTCAGAGGTACCTCAAAGGTACTCGTTTAACATCAGCTCAGTCTTTCCCCACACCTGCTCTTTCTCCAGTTTTCACTGTGCTTGTGAATGGCACCATCATCCACCCAACTGCACAAGCCAGAAAACTTGGAATCATTTCTAACACTTTACCCTCTAAAATCAAAGCCAGTGTCAAGGCCTGTCTGTTTTGCTTTCTGAATATTTCTCTTGTTTTCCATTCACCTCCTGTCTGCACAAGCACCATCTTAATTCAAGCAACCACTGTCTTTTACTCATCCTATGGCAATAGCCTCTTAACTGCTCTTCCTGCAGCCACTCCTGACCTCCAATTCTTTCACTACACTGCAGCCTGCGTGACCTTTTTAAAACACAAATCTTCATCTTCCTAGTGACTAATGGTGTTGAGTACCTTTTCATGTGCTTCTCTGTCATTTGCGGATCTTCTTTGAAGTGGCTGTTCAAATCTTTTGTCTATTTATTTAATTGGGTTGTTTATCTCTTTACTGAATTGTAAGCATCCTTTATGTATTCTAGATAAAAATCATTTGTTGAGCATGTCTTCTTCAAAACTTTTGTTTTCATTTTCTTTTTTGTGATAATGATTTCAATGGTGTGTCAAAATATATCAGGTGTACACATTAAATATTTGAAACTAGTTTTGTCAATTATATCATAGTAAAGCTATTTTTAAAAAACTAAATTTTATCTTGCCACTTTCCTGCTTAAACTCCAAATGGCTTTCTCCTGCTCTCAGTTAAAGACCAAAATTCCTAACATTGCCTATAACCAGGCCTCCTCCTAATCTTTGAAGGACTTCGAGTGAAAATCCAAACGGAGGCTTTATTGCCACATATCCAAGCAATAAAAGTTGAAGATCAAACGATGGCCCAGCGTTCCAGCCAGGACTCAAATGCTCTCCTCCCTCCCTTTCCCCACAGGCCAACCACCCTGCGCTGCCTGCAGGCCTGAGTGTTAGTATAGATCTGGGGGGCGAGGCAGGCAGAAGCTGATCTGGAACCCACGGTTTCCAGTCAGTGACTGGAATCCCCTAAACCTGGGATGGGAACTACCTTGGATTTGGTGCTGCGCTGACGTGAGCCTGAAGATGCCAGAGGCCACCATGAAAAGCCTGAAATGAAACCAACCCAGATGAAACAAAGTTTATACAGTCAGACACCCTAGGACATCATTTGAGCCTTTGAGCCAAGTCCCTGAAGCTAGCCCCATCTATGAACTTTTCATAACTTCTCTCCTTTGCTAAATCTAGATGACTAATTAATCCCTTTATGCAAACCATCCTGTATGGTAGAGGTTCTCAGACCAATTTATTTTGTTACATGAAAATATTCTTATATGTTCCATTTAATAAAACATGTTTAAACTGGTAAAATATTTAAGTATTATTCTAAAATATAATAAATCATTTCTTTTTCATAGTCCAAAAGTGTAAGATTGTAGAGAGCAGGGTCCATGCGTTAGACGTCTTCATCTTAACTCCTTATGGATCACAGTACTGAAAAACTTGTCCATTCTCATTGAAACCTTCTACTCTTTAGAAAAGGAATATGCGCTGATGATATATTTATTCTAACAAAGCATATATTCTTGTAATTCTGATTCTTTTATACTTTTCGTAAAGCACAAAAGTCCAGCAATTTAGAGACAGCTTTTTTAGGTTGTATATTAATTTAGTAATAAGCAGAAGAGAATATTGCTATACAGATATTTCTAGTAGAAACTTTAGGGAAAACCACTTGACTGTTTTGTAATTCTATAAACTGACATAGTTAACCTTAGTATTTTTAATCATTCAAGATATAATAGAGTTATGCCTAACAATGGTTGCTTTCAAATACTGGTTATTCACTCTGATTCTTGAGGATTTGAATAGAAAAGAAAGTGAAAGAATAAAGAAGAGACTGTTGTGCTAAGGAGAATTCAACTAATAGATATTTTTTCCAGTTTTCCTAAAGTGGGAGCAATTTATGGTTTTGCTATCGCAAATGCATCCACAGGCTTATAAAAGGCTTATAAAAGGAAAGATTGTGACAGATTGACCCTCTCTCAGGGCTGTTACTTTTATGTATTAACTAATGGCAATAAGGACTCTAGAGAATCCATTACAAAGATTATTTTTAGTAGTGAACTAAAAGGAACAAAGAAAGAGAAGTTGCTTTGGGAGATCTTGGCAAAATCTCCACATGGGGCTGAATTTCCTGGCACCAACTTTATGGCAATTTTTCCTTCTTAAGAAAACAAAGGGTATTAATACATTTTAAACACTCTTCTTGAACAAAGTAAGCCAATCAAGGTCATGACACTATTTCTTGTGAAATATCCAGGGACCTGCACCAAGAGAGACAAATAACATTCAAAGTACTTGCTTGAGGTTCTTTTTGTTACCAAATTACACAAAAATATTAATGGAATATCTCTATAGTCGGGAACTTTTCTTCTTTTTGCAACCTGTATAATCCCCAAGGAAGAATACCTAAACCTCTTTCTCACTTCTATCATGTCACTGTTTAGGAGGAAATTAAGGCTCATTGTTTTTAACTTGCTTTCTTTGATGTAAAAACACATACAATAGTCTGAGAGAACTTCCAAATGCATGATGTATTTATCAAGTGCAAGAGTAGGAGTGTTTCATGCCACATCATATATGGAAACCTGGTGCCAATTAGAATTGAGAATGCATGAAAATTGTCCTTTTGATGGATCCTCTGATCTGCTTAGTATGGATTATTTTCGTTTTTAGATAAAAAATTTAGAAGAGTTTTTTTTTCTGGTTTTGTAATCCTTGAGTATTTCTGTTGTTTACTCTGCACACGAAATGCCAAAGTAAGCTTTGAGTAATGATTACCAGACAGGTAGCTATAAAAGGAAGGTATTAATCTGGGATCAGTTGAAGATTAAATAAACCACTCTAGCTATTTGTAACAGAAACAGGATGAAATATAGGGAATTAGACACTGACAAACTCTTAGAAGGATCGAAGGAATAGGTTTTAGCCTGAGGAGAGCTTTCAGGAAACTCTCAGAATACCCGTCACAGAAACTGGCCTGCTAAGGCACAGTTGTCTCTACTATAATCAGAAAGTTGGAGAATCAGGGAGCTGCTTTCTCACCTGCTGGCTCCAGGAATATCCTGCCTTAGCTGTCATCCAGCAATGAGAGAGCTTCACCCAGAAATACTGGTTCCAGAGGCATGCCACATGGGCCATATCTCAGCAGCAAAATGGATGTCTTGGGTGCATTTTCTCTTAATTGAGTTTTGAATTCACATCTTACACAAGTACGCATGATAGGCAGGGCTTAAATCAAGTGTGAGCGTATGGGAATTTGGGAAATGTCATTTTACCCTCTGCTCCCTTTGTGG